TTCTACCGCATTTACGCTCGTTCACTCGACGTTTCAAAATTTTAAATAAAACAATAATAAAGTAAGAAAACCACTGATATTTAAACGTCAAAAATATTTCTGACAAAGATTGCAAAGCCTACTAAGATTTTTTCATTAAAAATTCATTCCAACTTTCGATTAACAACCCTACAGCTTAACAGTTAATGTTTGCTTAATTATTTTTTTTCTCAGAAATTATTAATTTTTAGAAGAACATCAGAGAGACAAAAAGGTTTAGAATAGTTTTATCTATCTAACTGAAATTTTTCCAATGTATTTATCATCTTTATAAAAAAAATCTAGGCATAAATTGAACGGGGGTGGTTACGTTTAGAAGGGTAGATTGAAGTAGTTAGAAGTAGGGTCAAAACGTGCCCTATTATGAGTTAAACATATTCCCCAAATTTCATTTTCCTAGCGTTTATGGTTTTTGAGAAAAAGAAATTAAACCAAAATTTTCCGCCATTTTTGGAGGGGTGTAGCTCCTTAGGGGAGCCAAAGTCGCCCATGGTTCATATATCAAAGTACCCTTAAAATTCACTAAAGAATCACCCCTTGAAGTTTGTCGCAGTCATTCAGATACAGCCTGTATATACTATCTCCTATATCGCTGACTCCCTATCTAAGCAATGAGTGGCGAGCGTTTCCATCAAAGGCAGACGGAATGATATATGTTCTGTCTTTGTCGTTTCAAGTGTCGCGAAAGCGCATGCGCGAACCGTAAATTTTAAAAAGCTTGAAGTGTTTCGCGCGTATTTTATACAGTTTGAAAATGCAATTATTGTAGATAATTTACTTTAATTATAAATTATCGTAGATGCATCAAATAAATTAGAATATATGTATGTACTTTTGTGTGAAATTGACGTTGAATATTGCTTTAAATATCAAGTTCATGTAGGTTATTCATTAAGCAATATTCTTTAAAATTCAATTAATACATATATACATAGTAATTATTAAAAATGTGTACCAAAATATTGTTATTAATTTTTAACATAATTTGTGAGCTCACGCTATTTAATGAAGTTGTTACATTAATCAAAGATATAATAACAAAATTAATAAAATATGTACTAGGTATTTACTATTTAATGTACATATATATGTGCGGTTATTATAAACATTTCGAAAAAAATTTATTAGAAAGATCGCTTCAGAATAATGTATTCTACAACCGTATAATGCTCTGATGCGGAAGATACGGGACACGCTGTATAAATATATGGGTTCGTATTATCGTTCTCCATGGTTACGGCCAAATAACTGCTGAAATACTCGCAATTGACGGAAAACCACGAATTCTTTATTATTCTTTTTCGCTGTTAACGTTATGAATGAAATAGTCAAAGTTATAGCTCATCGTCTAACTTTCTGAGATAGCGGGAATTTAATGTTTCTCTATGGCAGTTACGCCCCCTAGCGGTCGAATTACGAACTACAAAATAATTTCTAGCTATTTCTCTTGCCTATTTTGCCTATAAGGATTTTTTCCCAAATCCCTAGACCTTACCATTGTCGAGATACAGCCGCTCCGTACCCTTAACAGGACACCTGTATACAATTTCTAATATGATCTGCAACTATTGTTATAAAGTCAACTTTAGGACAAAAGCTAACGGCTAAAAACTATCCACTGCTTTCTTCATCAATAATTAATTATAATTCGATTCTATCAAGTAAGATCCTAAATTATATCAAAGATATGTCAGAGGTCAAAATGCCTAACACATTTTCCTTGATTAATATTTTATATATCGCCTCCAAATTGAGTATGTTTTAATTAGTACAGAATCGTTTATACAGGTGTATCTGAATGACGTTCCCAAACTTCAGGGGAACGTCATTCAGTCAACTTTCTTATATGAACCATGAGCGACTTCGACCCCCTGGGGAGCTAAGCCCCTTAAAAAATGGCGGAAAATTTTAGTTTAATTTTTTTTTCTCGAAAATCATAAACACCAGGAAAATAAAATTTGGTAAATAAGTTTAGCTTATAATAAGGCACGTTACGAGTCTATTTGTACTTTCAATCTTCCCTTCTGAGTTATTAAACGTAACTTGAACGGGGGTGTTCAATTTATGCCTAGATTTTTTTTTATTGGGATGATAAATATATTGGAAAATTTTATTTAGATAGATGAAAAACTTTTTTGCCTCTCTGATGTCTTTCGAAAATTTAATAATTTCTGAGAAAAAAATTAATTAAGCAAACACTAAAGGCCTATTCATTGTGGGAGCGCCCAGCGGAGTGAACGCTCTAACTCTGAACGTTGATATTTAAATATACAAATTGGTTTTTTTGAAACAACAAGCTTTACTAAATCAGTGTTTGACACTTATAAAACTTAGAGAATTGTTTAAAATGATTGGTTACCATAGTTACTCATGGCTACTGCTATTTTTTCCATGTCAAGCAAATTTGAAGTAATTAAACTTTTCTCGAAAATTTTCTTATGTAACGAATATTAATATTGACTGTACTAGATTCAGAAAAACATCTTCTTTGATATACCGCAATAAAAAGGGGGGATTGCCATTTGAAAAAAAAAATCGATGACGTCATAACTCAGTTAAAAATGGCGGAAAAAATTTGTAACCTACACCAAAAAGTTGCAAAAAATTTAAACCTTTAGACCAATCTCAGGGATTTTTCCATAAACCGTTCATAATGATTTTATCGCCTATATCCGTTACTTTACGGACATACTGTATATACAGGTGTCTCAGCGAGACCGGTCATTAGACGTTTCAGGGGTTCTGGAGAAAATAAAAATTTGAGAATTCAGATTTAAGTACATATTATCAATTACGATCTCTTCGACTAAAATATTTTCAGATTTCTTGCACTTCCGGTTATACCGGAAGTCGCCACCTACTTTATTTTTTTAAATAGAACACCCTGTATATTTTTACATATTTGGATTTGTCTGTTTTCAAGGTTTATAAATAACTTTACATTTTGCAATTTGATTCGGCCGTTCTCGAATTATTCGAATTTTTCTAGAAAAATCTGCTCCAGCAGACATTTGTTCAAAAAATCAGAGAACACTCGATTTTTGGGATATCAATTTAGGATTCAGAACATGCTTAAGCAACATGATGGAGTATGTTTTGGTGCCGAGAACGACTGTCTAGAACGTTTGGTCACTTTACTATGGCACGTTAACTTTTCAAAATTTGGAAGTACCATAACTTCATTTTTTTAAATGGCACCGCCCATATTTTATTACTTAGTCGTCTTCGGTGTCTCATTCTATATCTTTTATATCCCATATGTCCCATACCTAACAGTAATAGTTTGGGAGATAATTAGGGTTTTTTGAAAAATGCACACATACTTATCATATGGATATTTAGCCAAGTGTGCTATGAAAAACAAGCCTTCTCAATGAGTTCTTGTCAAGGACTCACTTGTTTACGTCACTTGATGCATGTGAGCTAATAATTATCTGTTAGGTCCCTTAATATTAGTACTGAAAAGAGTTAAAATCGATAACAATAACGAAAGTAATATTTACACAAATCAAGAAATTCTTAATTTATTTTTTATGCATGAAAAGCGCGACAAAGTTCGTAGTATGATTCCCAGATCTTCTTTGGCAGCTCGAATTGAGGTGTTGAGACTGGGCTCGAAATAAGCCAAGCTATTCGCATCTTCTGTTGTATTATCTACTAATTTTTTTGGTCAGTTTAACACGTGATTAATTCGTCCAAAATGCAAAAAGTTTGCTTCTATTCTCCTAAATTTACATTTTGTCATCGGAGGTAAATGTGGATAATTTTCATTAAACATTCTGCAAGTTCTACTAAGAACTTCGTCGCACTTTTCGTGCACAAAAAATAAATTATGGATTTCTTCATTTGTATACATTATTTACGTTATTAATATCCATTTTAACTGGTTTTAGACTCACTAGCATCAAACAACGTAAATCAGACTTTGACGTTTGTCAATAAGTCATTAAACATTTGTTTTCCATGGCACACTAGGTTAATATCGATATGATATGTGAGCATTTTTCAAAAAACCCTAATTATTTCTCAAACTATTAATGTTAGGCATAGGACATATGGAGTATAAAAGATCTAAAATGAGACGCCGAAGACGACTAAGTAATAAAATATGGGGGGTGCCATTTAAAAAAATGGTAAAAAAGTTATGGTGCTTCGAAATTTCGAAAAGTTAACGTGTCATAGTAAAGTGAACAAACGCTCTAGACATACTCCATAATGTTGTTTAAGCATGTTCTGAATCTTAAATTGATATCTCAAAAAACCAGTGTTCTATGATTTTTTGAACAAATGTCCACTGGAGCAGGTTTTTCTAGAAAAATTCGAATAACTCGAGAACGGCCGAATCAAATTGCAAAAAGTAAAGTTATTTATAAACCTTAAAAACAGACAAATCCAAATATGTAAAAATATACAGGGTGTTCCATTTAAAAAAATAAAGTAGGTGGCTACTTCCGGTATAACAGGAAGTGCTAGAAATCTTAAGTCTGAATTCTCAAATTTTTATTTTGGCCAGAACCTCAGAAACGTCTAATGACCGGTCTCGCTGAGACACCTGTATATGAACTAAACTTATTCCCCAAATTTCATTTTCTTGGCGTTTTTAGGTCTCGAGAAAAATAAATAAAATCAAAATTTTCCGCCATTTTTGAAGGGGCGTAGCTCCCCGGGGGAGTCGAAGTCGCTCATAGTTCATATAAGAAAGTACCCCTAAAATTTGCTAAAGAATCACCCCTGAAGTTTAGGAACGTCATTCAGATACACCTGTATACGCTTTTAGAAAGGCAATTACAATGTTCTAACTGAAGTGTGTTAAAATCTATCTTGTTAACCTAGGTGCAATTACAGAAGAAATCAAACAAATTCAGGATAAAGCATATTTACAGAAAGAGGACAAAACAACAAAAAAGAAGCAATAATCAACATCTATTTCATTGCCTCAAATTAAAAAAAAAAACACCTACATTGTGATGAAAAATGGTATCCGGTTCTGTAGGTTCAACTGTTGGAACCTTAATAGTTTGCTTCTTTAAATCAATAAGAATATTATCTGGAACTTTCTTTTCGCCAGAAACAAACTGTTTTTGCTCAAATCCATCCTCATTTATCTCCTCCAAAACTCTTTCATCCATAATAATTGGCTCATCTTCTTCTTTAGGAAGTATAGCAGTACATTGAGTTACTGCAACAATTTTCTCCTTCGTTTTTTGTGGCGCCCGCAAAGAACTTTTTGAGCTATCACTTGAAGATGATTCACTGCTGCTCGCTCTATGTTTTGGTTTGCTCACATATTCTTTAATATACGAACGAGATCGCGATCGTCTTGAGTACCTCCCTTTTGAGCGAGAGCTACTGTGTCGATCTTTCGATTTATGACAAGATCTTTCCCGGGAATTTGAGCGTTGGTGTCGAAAGGATTTATGAGATCTATGAGAAGAAGAACTTCTACTATGTCTATAAACAGAGGTTTTAATAATCGAAGGAGTCATGATTTAAATATTCAAATATACCTTGATCTAGAATAACGATCCCTACTTTTTGATCTGTGCCTCTCAGTTTTCTTATCCTTCTTCCTACGATATCTATCACCAGAATCTGGGGAACTTGATCTATTTTGTGTACAATAAATATGTAGTTAAATATTATTTTTTGAAGTATATGAAGCCTATAAAAGTTGCTAAAATAAATTTACCTCCTACTGTTGCTACGCTTGTATCTTCTTGTACTTTTCTTGTCAGAATCTGAATCACTTGAGTACTTACCCATAACCAATAGGATAAAGAGTAAGCTAATTAAGTCGATTTATTGATTACCATAGCAAAATCTTTTAGTTAGCACCACTAACCTAATCTCAAAATTATTCTTAACGGCGTTTTTTTACGATAAACAACTATCTATGTACATTCTGAACATATGACAAGAAAGCAGTGGAGAGGTTAGAATGTCAAATGTCAAATAACAGTATTTATCTCAAATATACCAGGTTTTTACATTATAAGATATAGTTTATAGCTCAAATCACTAAAATATAAACTTATTACACGATATTTAATATTTTCTTTACTATACATACCAATAAATGTAAAAATAGAAAATCTTTTGTTACAACTTGTAAACACCTAAATAAAGAATAAAATCGTTTTCAATCACCTTTGAGTTGATATAATTACACGATATTTAATAAAAGCCTTAAAAAATTAGAAAGTTTTGAGAAAAGACTCATCACGTTCACCTTTATGTTGTTGTTAAAATACTGGTAATTAATAATTTAGGCAAAATATATTAGTAGTAAGTTGATCATTGGGTTACATACACTATTTCTAAAAAATATTTTTAAATTATAAAATTATTTTTTAATTTGTTAATAGAACAAAACTAAAAATAAATCATTTTTATGATTTTATATAATAATGTTCTTTCATTTAAATAAAACTTTTTCTTGATAATACCATTGACTATTTTATACCAGACTGCTAACCGCTACGTAAAAATTGGTAACGCGTAAAGTGTTATTTTTGGATTTGTCCGCTATGGTGGATTTTATAATAATAATGGATATGATTAAGAGATGGCAGCACTATTTTTGATTTATATTGCCCCTCTTATATTTTCTTGTAGTAATAATAAAAATTGTTTAGTATTTCTTTTTTAATTAATAAATAAAACTTTATTGTATGAAAACATTATACGTTTTCCATAAAAACCGGTTGTTTCTACCAGTTTATTTTCATTAGAAAATAATATTAATTTTTAGAGAATTTTTTTCAATACTTTGAACAATTTTAAGAGTTGTTCTATCTGGTTTGAAGTTAAGTACTTGGGGAAATCCCGAGATAACTGACAGGTTGTTTCCACCAGTTTCTACGGAAAAAGTTGGTAAAGGCGGGCTTAACGTCGCAGGCGGAGTTTATTTTAGTTTATTTGCTTTAAATATCTATAATTATTATTTAAAACTAGTTATTAAACCTAAAATTATTGGTCTTTAATTGTAAACAAGCTTTATCTTTTATTAATATTTTGAAATAATATAGTAATTAGACAAGGAGTTAAAAGGCACGGAAACAAAATATATTAAAAGGTCGAGCTTGAGCAGAGAGTAGAGGATTTCCATTAAAGTCCATCCTAAATAAAATATTGAAACATTTATTATAGTACTTGAGGTAGAGGTACTTCAGATAGAGATACTTGAGGTAGTGATAGAGGTACTTGAGATAGAGATAGAGGTACTTGAGGTAGGGGTACTTGGCTAGAGATACTTCAATGAAGTGGCGAACCAGTTCGAGTATCGTGTAGATCTAGCTTTATACAAGCATATGTTGTTTCTTCTAAGGGCCGATTTACATCAGACGAGCGAATGCTCATTCTATCCCCACTCTATCATATTCTTTTAGTGTAAACAGATGTAGAACATTCTTTCGTTGTTCTGTCTATGTTCTCAAAGATTCTAGAAAATACTCTAGGAATGTTCGATCGCTTGATGTAAACGGCATTAGAGCGTGCGAACAATTACTTAGAGCCTTCTTGCGTGTTCGGATGTGCTCGCTCATCGGAGCGGTCTCTTCAAAGCGTTCTTGTGTTCTAGCCGAATGAGCATTCGTTCGGCTGATCTAAACATCTATGTGCAAGAATTCTGATTCTTGATTCTCATTTTTGCTCGTTGATATTTTGGTGTAAGCGCTAAAAACGCGATTTCGTTTACACTAAAAGATCAAGAAAGAATGCTCTTGTTCTAGCTCTAGCTCTTTGTTCGTTTGGTTTAAATGCACCTTAAGATAATTTTATAACATTTTAATTCATTTTGTGTCTTATCAGCAAGACGTTCAAATATTAATGATGAAATAATAAAAAAAAATATGTAAGAAATAAATTTTATTTATAGGCTAGAAAATCAAAATTACAAGAAATAAATTTCTTACAAAGCATAAACTTTCACGTAGTCAACCTTTAAGTCGTTACCTTCTTGCCATGATTGTAAATAAGTGTTTTTATTTAGATAAAAGTTTAACATCTCTTTTGCATCTTGATTTTTGTAAGGTTTTCCTTCAACTTCAGGGATACCATGACCACCAACACCAACTCCTAACGTAATTATCATCTATAAAAATAAAAATTATACAATAAATATGAAGGCTTTCATGGTCGATGTTAATTAAGCTAAAAGTTAGAATTAGAAACATTCGGGTTTAATCGTGCGTCTCTTAAGATGGCCAATGTCGCGAATCATAAGACCACCGGTCTTATATTCCACGATGGTTCGGAAACAAAACGCTTACAGTCATTAATCAACGTTTATTGCAACAAAACACGTATTATCATTACTACTCGAACTCAATACATGAGCCGAGCGAGCGCGATACATCAACAACAGAGTTCTAAAAGCTACTAAAAATAACGACGATTCTTCGCAGGTCCCCACCTAACAACAAAGCGCTGACGCCCCTACTCGGTAGGCAACCCAATTGACTACTAAATAAATACGAATTCTCAACATTCTCCCACCTGAGACACATTCAAGTAACATAGGTCATGTGTCTCATAAAACAACATTCTAAATTAAAACTATAACTTAAACTACTTCAGTCTTGTAATCTTTTCGGGATTTTCGTCAGGCGACCACTACGCGTAACAACAACTTTCGTTGCGGGTTCTCTGCTTTTACACACTCCCGCACTTTCCCGCACAGTTTTGCACACCAGTTCTTCCCCATCGTCACCTTTGATGTTTCTCGTCTCCGGTGAAGTCTCGCTGATGTTGTCCATCTGATCAGCACTCTCGATCGTTGCATCGTCTGTCGTGCTTGCACACTCCAAAGGGTAGATGCGCTGTACAGGCCGAAGCAGCTGTCCCCTGGCGGTAGTCACTCTTATTAAACGAATTTGTCCATCTGGTCCAGGCAACAATTCAGTGACTCGACCCAAAGGCCAATCCAATCGCTTGTCGTTGTCGTTGCCAATAAGTACTAACTCTCCAACTCTTATCGGACGGCTGTAGCGCTTCTTCTGTAATAGGTGTAACTGGCCCAGATATTCATCACGAAACCTGCGGCGCAGATCTTCTCTCAACTTTCGTTGGTAGGCGACTTTTCGACAAAGCAATTGGCTGTCCACCTCATCACAATCAGGAACACCGCTATACACTTGCTCTCGTAGAAAGGTGTTTGGCGTCAAGTGCAACAGCTCCCCCGCATCGTTAGACATGTAAGTGAGAGGCCTCGAGTTAACAACCGATTCGCAATCGCACAAGACGGTTAACAGTTCTTCATAATTCAAGCAGGCACGTCCCAAAACCTTACGCAGCAGCTGCTTCAGTACTCCTATCAGTCGCTCCCAGAATCCACCCCACCATGGTGCTGATGGTGGATTGAAACGCCATGTGATACGTTCCGCACTACTGTGCTCTGTGATTTTCTGCCAGTCTATTTTCTGAAACGCGTTTTCTGTTCCAACAAAGTTGGTACCATTGTCTGTGTAAATAGTGCGCGGTCGACCCCGCCTCGCGATAAACCGACGCAACGCTTGCACGAAACCAGCGACAGTCAATGATGTACAAAGTTCCAAATGCACTGCCCGGTATATCGCGCACGTAAAAAGACAGATCCACGCCTTTTCCCCAGTCTTTAAAAACAACGGCCCCGCAAAGTCTATACCTACGATCTCAAAAACTCCAGCATCTCGCACTCGATCCAACGGAAGCGGCGCGTTATCCGTTACAAAAGGTTTTCTGTTATGTCGCTTACAAACCACGCACTTCGCGATCGCGGATCGTACCGGCCGACGTCCTCCTAGGATCCAGTAGTTGTTACGAAGTATGCTCATAAGTCCCTGCGTGCCAACATGACACGCTCTCACATGCGCATCAAAAATGAGACTGGTCACGACCGGATGGTTAGCGGGCAACAGTATTGGTAGGCGAAAATGCTCTGCATCATTTCTTCTTAACACTCTTGATTTAACTCGGATTACGCCATTTTC